TGTCCTCAAGGGTCGCCATGAGTCAGAATCAACTCGACGGTGGTGCATGTGGCGTCTCGGAGCAATCGTGATAAGCGGAGGCAGAATTCGTCGTAGTCACACCCACTCCAGGGGGCCCTGGGGACACAGTCGTTCTGCTGCCCAAGTAGGGGGGCGGCAGTTTGAGCTCCGCGCAGGGATAGAGGCCTGGCTATTGCTTCCATGAAGGCAGCGGCTGTGGGCCCTCCAGCCAGTTCCCTTTGGTGGCCAACCCTGTCGGTTCCCTGCTGACCTTGATGGAGCCCGCCGGGTCTGTGTCTCTGGCCTGGTCGCCATATCACCATCACCAGCAGCTGTCCCCTCAGACACTGCCGCCCTTCCGTGATAGGTGGTTGTGCAGCCGGGGGTCCCGGGCGGACGGACCCAGCCCAGCTGCTCCGGCTCGCACAGTGCTCACCCCCTGCCCTGTGTTCCCATTGCAGTGAGAGCGGGCGGCATGCGCATCGTGCAGAAGCACCCACACGCTGAAGGCCGGGAGAAGGACAAGGACGACCAGGAATGGGAGAGCCCCAGGTGGGTGACCGTGGGATGCAGGGCGGTGTGTCTGAGCCCTGGCCTGGGCTCGAATGCCCGGCCCCTGGCCCACTTATTGCGGAGGGGGCTGGTGCCCAGGCGAGAGGAAAGGGCCCTGGAGCAGGTCCCTCACCCTACCTGAACCTGATTGCCCCACACTGCTGCCATCTCCACCATCCCACACTCCACCTCCTTTCTCTTTACTATCCCATAATGCTCCCTACACCCCATACCCTGTGGTGCCTTCACCTCTCCCCACCATGCCTGCTATTCCGCACCCCCTCCATTCGCAGTTCCCCTGCCCCACACTGCTCACCCCCCATCATCCCACCGCCCCACCCCCAGCCCTGGCCAGACCTGTCTCGGTTGTTCTTCACCGTGCAGGGTAGCTGCAGACAGGTTAGCAAATGGCCCCCTGCCACCTTCTCTGTGTCCCCAGGGGTCACCTGTGTCAGCTGAGTGACAGTAGATATGAGTGGCGGTCAGCTTGGGTATAGACTGGCTCTGTCTGGACACCTCTGCACAGTGCCCTTGGGTCTTTGGGACTCCTCCTGCGGGTGGGCGGGCACCGGGCAGAGCACTGCCTCGTGTCAGGCGTGCCCACTCACCAAGGCACGCAGGCCTTCCCTCAACCCGGGGCCTGGAGTGGCCCCTGCCGAGGGACAGAGCGCTGGTGTCCAGTGTGACAAGAGTGGAGTGCCCTGCCCATCCCCAGTGACCCCTGTGACCCTGAGAGCACTCACAGGGACACACCCCTGCCGCCCCCTGAACCCCACTGCTCTGAGAACGCAAGACCCTCACAGGCCCACCAGCGCTCCGCCCCAGGGACACTTGTGTGCGGTCACAGTGCGCCCACTCAGCAGCTGCATTTACCAGGGCGAAACCGTGTCGTGGCAATGGGATGGTTCAGTCCTGAGAGCCGGCTTAGGGAAGGCATCGGGTTTGAGAAACGTCCAGAGTTCTCAGTGTCTGTCTTTGCAGGTTGTTCTTGGAACGCCACCGCCTGCACATCCCCACATCTGGAATTGTGGGGGCCGTGCTCTTCCGAATCTAGAAATGGGGGCTTTGGGAGGGTTGCCACAACTTTGGGAGGCAAGGCCTGGCAGTTCCCCTGTGTCAGCAGCCAGCGCAAGACCCCTGGTCACCAGGCTGAGCTGTGGGCGGGCGCTGCCGTCACTGAGGCTCAGCTGGCAAGACAATTGCCTGGTTCGGCTGCTGACCAGGTGGCTGAAGGCGTGAGTCTCCCAAACTGTCAGCCCTCAAATGCCCTGTCATGTGGGCCGCCCACTGTCATCTGCCCACACCCTCGTCCCCTCATGGGGTAAAGTTTAAGAACCTACACTCTTCATGCCCATTCAAACAAGGTTTGACGTCACAAGGGAAGCTGGGCTGGCAGAGTTCAGCACCAGGCATTGATTGAAGTCCCAGTCAGCCACGAGGTACAGGGGAGGTGACGAGAGGATCAAAGGAGAGCCTTCCGAGGGCTCGATGACCAGCAGGTCAGGTTTGGGACAGGGCTGGAGAGAGGGCAGAGAGAAGGGCACTTAGGAGCAGGCCTGTTTGCCATCTGACAGACCAGCAGAAGGGTTAACTTCTGCCCATTTGCGTAAGAAGAATCAGAACTCTATAGAAACCGTCAGCGCCAGGTACTGAAGTGTGCGTGGGCTCTCGGCATTGCATAACAGAAACCCCTTAGATTACGGTGAGATGACAATCTCTCTCCAGCCAGAGAGCCAAGCTCACTGCCAGAGTCGCTTCTGACTCACGACAACCGTACAGGACAGAGGAGAACTGCCCCTGAGGGTTTCCCAGGCTGTTGACCAGAACAGAAAGCCTTTCTCCTGCAGAGCAGCTGGTGGTGTTGAACTGCTGACCTCAGGGATCACAGCCCAGTGCATAACCACTATGCCAGCAGGGCTCCACCACGTGGTTTCTGTTGGGTGAGGGCACATTCTCTCCGGGTGTCTCTGTGGGAGGGCACGTTGTCCCTAGGGGTCTCCGTGGGAGGAGGCCACAATCCGGGGGCCGCAGCTGCCCCAAGTGCAGGATGAACAGGCACAGCTTTAGCAGCAACTTTGGGAAGACCGTGTTCCCACCATGTCTGCACGTCAGGGGGAGTTTTCCCGGTCTCCTGTGTGTGATACGTTCCTTGGGAATTCAGGTTTCTCTCAGGGGCTTTGATTTCCTCTGTCCTGCGTAACAGGAGCACACCAGAGGACAGGCACGTCGCCTCGGGGCCCGGAGGCCAGCCCCTGCCTCTCTCTCCCCTGGCATCTAGTGGCCTGACCCTTCTACAGCTGTTCCTGTCGGGCCCTCTTTCCACATCCCGTCTCTTCTCAGAGGGCTCTGGGGAGGGGCCTACAACTCCGACCCCGACAGCTGACACCCACCATCTGCAGAGAGAGACCCTGCCTCCCAACAAGGTCTCATCACAGGGACAGGGACAGGAGGAAGGACTTCAACACAGCTTTAGTGGAGACACAGCTCCGTCTGTTACCCGCAACTCCCCTTAGCCTGTGAAAATGAAAGCCCTGGGGCACTCCGTCTCATAGGGGGACCCTGTAAGTGGTGTGCAGCTGCCCCTGGGGGTCCAGCCTGGGAGCTGTACCGAGCCCACTTCTGTCTCCTGCAGAGTGGATGGTGGATTCAAACCACTGACCTTTCAGGGAGCAGCTGAGTGCTTAACCACCGCACTACCAGGGTTCCTCAAAGCCCCCAGACCAAACCCACTGCCATCGGGTCCGTTGGCACTCACAAGGACCCTATAAGATGGGCTGGAACTGCCCCTGTGAGTTTCTGACAACCAGGCAGGCGACGGCAGCGTCTCCAGATGCAGTGGCAAGTGGCTTCGAACCACTGACCTTACACGCAGCTGCACAACGCTTAACCACTGCACCAGCAGGGCTCCAGCTGTGAGCTGGGGGGGAGAGGGCTTCCGATTGTTTGTGACAGATGACAAGGAGGCATGTGAGGAGAGTGATTACTAGTTGGGTGCTGCTGCCCTGGGGGCAGGAGTGGAGGGGCTGCCCCGTGCTTTGTCCCCTACTCCACCCCAGCTGCAGATTTGGGAAGGCCCCTCTCTGTGCCGCCTCTACCCGCCTCTGCCCCTGTCCTGGACCAGGGCACCAGCTGTGACAGCAAGGCCGTTGCCATCATCAGCCGCCACCGTGTCTCCAGAGGCTGGCCTGGCTGCCAGGAGTGAGGCAAGCCACTGCCCACAGTGGGCCCGGCCCAGGCAGACCCATGGGCACCGCATAGAACTGCACTGCGGTTCTGTGCCTTACAGACATGTCGCATTCATGACAGTGTATTTGCACTGCTGGGAAGAATTGCTTGGCACTGGTGGCAGGTCACCTGGAGGCTGAGCGGTGCCCAGTGCCCACTCCCCGCCCCCTATTTTATCGCTTTAGAAGCATTAATCCTGGGTCCCTCTCAGCCTCCTGCTTTTCCTTCCTTTCCATCCGTTTTGTTGTTCGTCGCCTGTTTGTGGTCACTTTTTCTCTTGACTCCTCCTGTGAGGATGCTGTTTCAAAATGGAAAAGGCTGCCTTTCGGTCCACCTGCCTGCCCTTTCCCCATGCCCAGAGACTCCCAGAACCCCTGTAACCACGGGCCAGCCGGCTGCGCTCCAGCTCACCTCAGTGCAGCAGAGCTGATGAGAAAATACTTGTCACAAAACACACACCGGCCACACGGAGAGCTCACTGACACTGATTGTACTTCCCAAGCGGCGCCCACTCTCACTGTCCTTGTTCAGTGTCCCTTCCCCCTCCTCCCTCTGGCAACCTCTGACCAGTTCAGGCTCCTATGTGCTTCTGCCTGGGACCCACCACCAGCCCAGCTGAGCTCAGTGGCCCTGTGTGCTCAGCCATGCCCCGTCCACCTGGTGCTGTGCAGTGAAGGCGCCACCTCTTGGCGACCGTGAGAAGTGCAGGCGCGATGTTGACAGACTGGCTTCCGTTTGCCTTGCAAGCCCCTCCTCCTTCAGGGCTCCAGGGGGTTGTCCGACAGAAAAAGCAGACAAACTGCCATCGAATCCTGGAGTCAATGGCCACTCGTAGCAACCCTGGAGGACAGGCTAGCACTGCACCTGTGGGTTTTGGAGACTGAAACTCTAATGGGTCAGACAGGCCCGTCTGTCTCTCGAGAGGGCTGTTGGGCTGGCTGGCTTTTCATAGATAGATTGTCCGGTCTGACTTCCCAGTCACCGCTGGGTGGACTTGAACATGCAGCCCCCAGGACTGTGGGTTCCCAGAGGCCTGGAAGCACTGTCCACTCCTGAACCAGAGTCGGACACATCCAGCCTGACCTGCTGTCACAGCCACTGTCAGTGAGCCAAAGGCAAGACCCCCTGGCTGTGGGGAGGGGCTGCCAACCTCAAGGTCAGCTGTTCAAGCCCACCAGCCACTCCAGGGAAAATGATGAGGTTTTCTACTCCTGGGAAGGATCCAGGGTTGGCAGTCTGCTGATGGCTCCTGGGATCGGTGGCAACGCAACAGGCCCGTGCAGGACCCAGATCCCGCAGAAGTGAACGAGGTTCTCCGCGTGCTCGAGCTGGGTTCCTGTAAGGGCAGCCTGAGGATCTCCAGTGGGCGGGGTGCAAAGCGGTGGGTTCCCCACTGTCTGACCTCACAGAGCAGATACTTCTCAGAAGGTGGGCGCCAGCAGCCTGAGCAGTCCAGACCAGAGGAAACTGCCTGAAATAAAGCACACGGTCCCTCCAGTGGCCAGAGAGGGCACTGCAGCAGCGGGTTGGCTATGAGTCAGACTCCACTCAGCAGTGGAGCTGGTTTGGTTTATATAGATCTTACGCTGCGTGAGCACACATTTTGACATTTAAAATTAACTTCGTATGCAACTTTAAGCGTTGTGTTGTCAGAATTAAAGTCCTTCACCTCATGTCACTCACTGCCTTGGAGTTGAATCCAGCTCATGGTGACCCTATAGGACAGGGTAGAACTGCCCCCTGTAGGTTTCCAAGACTGTAAACCTTTACTGGAA